GGGAGGCAGAGCTTGCAGTGAGCTGAGATCCGGCCACTGCACTCCAGCCTGGGCGACAGAGCGAGACTCCATCTCAAAAAAAAAAAAAATCTGTTTAAACTAATCAAGAAAACTGGTTATTTCAACAATAAAAATTAAAATAATACATCTTTCACCCTTTTAATTGTAAAGATTAAATTGTAACTGAAATCAATATAACAGATTCTCAGTCTGCCTACTCATTTTCCTTAACAAGGCCATAAAGAACTTAATGCTCATGTGCAATATAGAATCTTAGGTTTTTATTTGTAGGAAAAAATAAACAGATTTCCCTCCCCATCAAGGCGTCACAAGAAATGAGGCAATAAAGGGAAAAATGCAAATCCTAAAGTCATCTAGTGACTTTCTCCTAATTCTAAACAAAGAAAAAGTGCTCTCAGGTTTTGAAATCTCCACATACAACACAGATGGGCAAAAAAGCTATAGACATCTCAGTTACAAGTTTCAAGTTCTTTTAAAAAAAAAAAAAAACCAAACCTTTCCTCCAGGGAAAGCCCATGTGATCGATTACCGAATTGAATTATACAGTTCCACTTCAACTAGTCTAAAATTGATGTGCTTAGCCAAAACCTTGAAAAATAGAATTAACCAGTTTTTTACAGTACCATAGCAGCCAGTCTATTATACAGAAACACCACCTGTCCTTTACATTAGAGTACTTGCCCCAGTTGTCTTTGTAAGTCTGAAGCAACACACTGTTCGTAGTAAATTTTAGTAGATAAATATATGAGGACTAATTGAAAAGTCTCTTTAAGAAGAAAATATCTTAGTCCTTTGTATATCAAATCAGAATCTAATAGGTAAAATAATATACATTATTTTCAAATATACAAATTATGTGCTAAAGTAAAAAAAATAAAATGTCCTTTAGTTCAAGCCAAACTTCTGCCGGTGCCACTTCAGTGGGCACGTGCGCTAGGAGATGGGTCCTCCATGCCGAGAGTCACTCCTGCCGGCTTCTGCAAGAGAACGACACAAGCTACTCCATCAGGAGAAGAGGGCAGCATAGTCCGAGCTTCAACTACACACAGTTACTCACTTGGAGATAATTCAACATGGTAAACAGAAAACTTTTTTTCTTTTTTTTGAGATGGAGTCTTACTCTGTTGCCCAGGCTGAAGTGCAAGGGCGCCATCTCGGCTCACTGCAACCTCCACCTCCCAGGTACAAGCAATTCTCCTGCCTCAGCCTCCTGGGTAGCTGGGATTACAGGCGCCCACCACCACACTCAGTGATCTTTTGCATTTTTAGTAGAGATGAGGTTTCACCATGTTGGCCAGGCTAGTCTCGAACTCCTGACCTCAGGTGATCCACCCACCTCAGCCTCGTAAAGTGGAGAAAACACCTTCTCCAGGGTCTACCATTACATGCAGGATTAGAGGCATGAGCCACCATGCCCGGCTAACAGAAAATTTTAAATAACATATATGGAAAACTGATAACCCATTGATAGTCAACAAGAAAAACTGGTAAACATCTTTGTCATATGAAGAGTTTTCTAGCATCAGCCTAGCCAACATTAATCTCATCAGAAGATCAGTCTTTAAAGACAGTCAGAGATGGTGGTACCAGAAGATGTGCCCAAAAGTTGAACAAGTAGCTAAGGTGATGGTGACGTTGCCACCAATGAAAATAGCCAGTATTAATATTGACCCTAAGAGGTAGAGATTAACACGTCACCAGCCCTGGTGTATAGATGGCACGGAAGAGGAGGAGCTGGTACTGAAATCCAGACAGTTGCTATTACTAGGTATACAAAAATCACTCCACACAAAAGGCTCTTAGAATAGAATACTTCCTTAAAGATAGCAGTAGAACCCACTACTTTTTATTTTGCCAATTTAAAGTTTCTCTTTTGAGACAGGGTCTCTCTCTCTCTCACCCAGGCTGGAGTGCAGTGACATGATCACGGCCATGGCTCACTGCATCCTTGACCTGCTGGGTTCAAGTGATCCCCCTACCTCAGCTTCCCAGACAGCTGGGACTACAGGCACATGCCACTATTCTATGCCCTGCTAATGTTTTGTAGAGACAGGGTTTCTGTACGTTCCCCAGGCTGGCCTCATGTGATGTAATCTGCTCCCCACCACCCCACCTCCAAAAGTGCTAGGATTACAATTGTGTGCCACCATGTCCAGCCTCAAGTTTCTATTAAATGGTGAAATAACGTAAGTAATCTCAAAATGTTTCCTCTTGCTTTATAAATATAAAATGTGTATTTACTGTTTAAATTGACAAAAACTGCATATATTTATGGTATACAACATGATGTTCTGAAACATGTATACATTGTGGAATGGCTAAATCACACTAATTCATGTGCATTACCTGACATATTTATTCAAAGTGAAAACATTTAAAATCTACTCTTTGGGCATCTTTCAAGAATACTATGCATTGTTATGAACTGTAGTCACCATGCTGTATAATGGAGTTCTTGAACTTACTCCTAACTGATACTTTGCACCTTTTGATCAGTATCTCTCCAATCCCCCCCACACCCAATCAAATATTTTGCAATCCCCCACCCAACCAAATATTTTACACTCCCTTCAAGGAGGTGAAGTAGGTGGAGAGTGACGTAACTGGACAGTGGAAGGTGCACTTCCGCAGGAAAACACCTTCTCCAGGGTCTACCATAGTAACTTCCACACTCATTTCCTAGTTGCTCCTAAGAGTCTAGTAAATGTTTTCTCAACTATAAGTGAAACTACATTTTATTCTGGAGGTATTAATGCCTGATTTTTCTAATTTAGTGTTTTTCAATTTATACTGTTACCGTTACAAGGCTGAAAGAACATTAACAGATAAAGTCAACTTGCTGATGCATAATACTTGGGAATTTAAAAAAAGGACAAAGAGAGAAAAACAGAATGTGAGCCCCACATGGAGTTGGGTGGGGAATGGGGGAAACTGGCTGCTTCAGAAGGTATCTGACATTCTGCTGCTTTGGAAACCTAGCTGCTGCTTCCACCTTCTTTATTTCTACCCATGATTTCAAATTGTATTATCTTTGTTCTAAGAGGGCAGTTCAGGACAGCCAATGGTAAACTGTAATGCACTGCAAGTGAACAAGGTAGCAAGAATGCAGAAAACTCTGGAGGCTGCTCTTGAAGGACATTTAGTCAGAATAAGAGTCTTAGTATCTCCAGGGTGCTCATGTACTAGAGAAGGCAAAGTTAGTTTTCTTTCTGGAGTTGGAAGGCAATGGCAGAATCACACAGGTATGCATTCTGGCTCCATATAAAGACATTCCTAAAAATAAGAGCCATTTACCGACAGAACATGCTGCTTTGTAAGGTGGCCCGGTCTTGGCTGGAGAGCTGGTTAGGAGAATGCCTACACCAATCAATCGCTACAATTTTATAATTCTCCGAAATCTATTCTCCTTTTTTCTTCCACAATGCATTCTTTTCTTCCTCTGGTGCTGTTAATACTTACATTGGAATATTTCTACCTGTTTTTGCCTCACGGATCCTAAATGTGCCACAAAGAAACTGACTTAGTTTCAATCTTACTGCTTTGGAAAAATACGCTTCCTCTTCTAGGATGACAAAATTCAAAATCTGAAGCATCGATTCTTCCCATTTAAAATAACCTTTAAGTGAATCCAATTCCAATAAAAATTCTGAGATTTTCTTTTACTTGGCAAAATGATTTTAGAATTACTCTTTAAAAAATGTAGAATAGGCCAGGTGTGGTGGCTCATGCCTGTAATCCCAGCACTTTGGGAGGCCAAGGAGGGCACATCACCTGAGGCCAGCAAATCACCTGAACCCAGGAGGCGAAGGCTGCAGTGAGCGGAGATCACGCCACTGTACTCCAGACTGGCCGACAGAGCAAGACTCCATCTCAAACAAAAACAATAACAATAACAATAATAATAATATAGAATAGCCCAGGAATTTTTTTTAAAAGAAGAATAAAGATAAAGGAATTTGCCTTGCAAATATCAAAACATATTATTTGTAATTATTATTCACTAAACAATATTAGGACAACTGATTAAACACTTAGGTTTAACAAGTGGAATAAAAGGAAAAAAATATATTAGTTAAATCTCTCCTCACACCTTAAACTATATATACTAAGATTTCAATGTAAAATACAAAACCCACAAATACTCGCAAAGTACAGGTCAATATCTTTATAATCCTAAGATAAGAAAGGCCTTCCTAAGTCAGCATGCAATCAAAGGCAGAATCATGAGAGAACGGGAAACTAAACTACATAATTTCTATCTGGAAAGTACAATGAAAAGCCAAAGGATACAGAAACTGGGGGAGAAATACACAAAATATATGACAAAGCCCTAGTATTTTCAGTGTATAAAAAGCTCTAAGGATCAATATGAAAAAATTACTATCTTCATAAAAAAATAAGCAAGGGATAAAATAAGCAGTTCATCAAAGAATAAAGATGACCAATAATCGGAAAAGAGGATTAACCTCATCGGTAATAAAAAAAAAAATGCGATTAGTCTAGACAACATGGTGAGACTTCATCACTTCAAAAAAATTTAAAAAGTTAGCTAGATGTGGTGGCACGTGCCTGTGGTCCCAGCTACTTGGGAGGCAGAGGTGGCAGGACTAGTTAAGCCTGGGAATTTGAGGCTGCAGTGAGCTGTGTTCTCATCAGTATACTCCAGCCAAGGTGACAGAGCAACACCCCGCCTCAAAAAGTAAAACAAAACACACACAAAAAACCAAACAAAAAATACATGCAGTTCACTACATTTTACCTATCAGACTGACAGAAAGCAATTAGACAAGTGGTAAGTATATATACATAATGATTTCAAAGTGCTAGTGATAATAAACACCCATGAATAGTTTCAAGAAATTATAGAAAATTCAAAATGTAGTACTATGTAGCTGTAAAAAAATCACCTATTTACCAACATAGAAAGAGCTTCATACATTAAGTAAAACGTAGGTTATATTTAATTCCTGGTTATTTATTCTTTGATAGCTCAAACTCAAGCAATGCTCCCACCTTAATCTCCCAAAGCCCTGAGATTACAGGTGTGAGCCACCACACCTGGCCACATGCCATTGTTTTATAATTTGCACATCGCTCACCTAGCAATGCCGTATTTTCCCCTGCATCTCCTTTAAAGCTGGCATCGCACTGTGGCTCCGATTCAGCGGGGGAGGCTGATGGTGGGCTGCTCTCATCACTTCCGTCGTCCTCTGGTAAAGTTAGACTCAAATTTGCAGCCGGATCCCTTCCAGAAGGAGATTCTGGAGCAGGCATGTCCTGGACATCTCCAGGCTCTCCCTTGAGAATTAGAACAGAAGAAAAACATGATCAAAGCTTATCTATCTTCTGGCTCGTAATTCACACACGATATTATGTACTTCTATACAATGAATCTGGCAAAAAGCACAACGTCTCCCTTATCTAGTATCACAAGAAAATGAATTCTTTCTCGACAACCAACCTCCTAAGGCCTACATGTTTTTTATTCTAAAAAACATTTCCCCTCCTTGATACAAGCAATGCCACCTTTTAAACTATTGACAGAAAGTGAAGCTTTCCTCCACTTCCTTGCCTTCCTGGACAGAGGATATGAGGCCATAGCCATGAACTCTGATTACCGCCCTGTGCTGGTTTATAGTGAGGCACTAGGGTTTCAGAGATAAACAAGGCCTTTGAACAACAGATGCCTTCAGACTGTATTATTTTCTTGAAAAAGTTACTCTGGCTCCTTCCATATGGACAGGGTGGTGATCAGCTGTAGTTTGCCTCCACCTTCCCTCCCGCTTCCATTTGCTGCTTTAAAGAAAGGAAAACAGTGAAAGTGGAGGGCTGGAGACGCTATCAGCAACACTACATTAAGTCTCGACATTGGGGGAACAGCTAGAAACCTCATTTGATTAATACCAGAGTCAAAGCTGTGTTGTAAGTGGATGGAACTCCTGGTAAAGTGACTTATTAGATGAGGGGTTGCTGCAGGTTCACTATGACCATCTGGCTCAGCATCTCACCATTGCTTCAAGTAAAAGCACCACTCACAGGCACTCCACCTCCCTCCACCGGGCTGCGCCCCCAACAGCCCTGCTCCACCTGTGTTCTAGAACCTGCCCCTCCTGCCTCACCAGCAACGTAACGCCCTCCCATCCCTGCTCCTGACACACCAAGCAACAAATCCTGTGGCTGTGACATCACAATACCCAAACTTCTGCCAGCCTAGCCCCAACCTGTTTACCTATATCTGCTAACTTAACTACCTGCCAACCTCCAACCCTGTCTGTTCACTCCCCAGACACAGCATTAGCCTCAAGACTTTGGTGTGTCTGACGGCTAATGCAACACCCAGCTCAACTGCCCTCTCAAATGCACTTGCTCCACCTTCCAATTTCTACCTGGCAGCAGGCCGTGTGACCCCTCCTCTGTGCTCCCACAGGCAGCACTTCAAACAGGCCTCTTTGGCCGTGTCGTGTCTGTGTGCGTGCCCTGACCCCCCACCAGTCCAGAAAGTGAAATCCTCAAGAGCCCGTGAGGGGAGGGACTGTGTCTTACTCATCTTGGTCTCCCCAGAGCCAAGTGCAGATCTAGCACCTCAGATGTCATTTCTTTGACCCATCCTTGCCAAATGAATGAAAACAAGTGACAAGGATCACTGAAATAGCTGTGAACCTTTAAAGTCTGTGTGGTGGACTGAGGCTGACTCTCACTAGTTATG